ATCGGTGATAACATTTGCAAATATGTTCTCCCATGCAGTGGGCTTTCTTGTTGTTTTGTAGATGGTTTCCTTTGCTATGCAAAAGCTTTTATTTTGATGTAGTTCCATTTGTTTATTTTCTCTTTAGTTTCCATTGCCCTAGGAGCAGTATCAGTGAAAAAATTCCTTCGGCATATGTCTGAGATTTTGCTGCCTGTGGATTCCTCTAGTATTTTTATGGTTTCCCATCTTATGTTTAAGTCCTTTATCCATTTTGAGTTTATTTTTGTGTATGGTGTAAGTTGGTGGTCTAGTTTCATTTTTTTTTGCATGTATCTGTCCAATTTTCCCAACACCATTTATTGAAGAAGCTGTCTTAACTTCATTGTATGTTCATGCCTCCTTTGTCGAATATTAATTGGGCATAGTGGTTTGGGTCGATTTCTGGGTTCTCTATTCTATTCCATTGGTCTATATGTCTGTTCTTCCGCCAGTAAAAGTCTGTTTTGAGAACAGTGGCTTTGTAATACAGCTTGATATCTGGTATTGAGATCCCACCTACTTTGTTCTTCTTTCCTAACTAGTTTTTTAATTTATGTTTTATTGAGGTAACATTGCTAAATAGCATTGTATAAATTTCAGTTGTACATTATAATTTGATACTTGTATGTATTATAACATGCTCACCACTAAAAGCCTAGTTTCCATCCATTACCATATATTTGACCCCATTTCACCTCCCCCCACTCCCCTTCCCCTATAGTAACCACCATTCTGTTGTCTGTATGACTTTGTTTTTCTTTTGTTTTGTTTTTTTTGTTACTATTTTGTTTTATATTCCACATATAAATGAAATCATTTGGTTTTTGTCCATTTTGGCCTGCTCTTTCAAGCAGTCTACTCATAGTTGGTTTTCAAGATGTTTCAATTTCGCCCTAACCGGTTTGGCTCAGTGGATAGAGCGTTGGCCTGCGGACTGAAGGGTCCCAGGTTTGATTCCAGTCAAGGGCATGTACCTGGGTTGCGGGCACATCCCCAGTAGGAGATGTGCAGGAGGCAGCTGGTCGATGTTTCTCTCTCATCGATGTTTCTAACTCTCTATCTCTCTTCCTTCCTCTCTGTAAAAAATCAATAAAATATATTTAAAAAAAATAAAAAAGATGTTTCAATTTCACTTACACGCCAAGGCATTAATACTTTTTTCTTCCTTGCTATAAGTTACAAGATTAGGGCAACAACTCTAAAAGAGCCATTACCCTTAAATCAAATTCACACATCACCCCCACTCCCAGACTAAAACAAAAGATCTTTTATGTCAGTGATTCTCAAACATGGCTTCAAATTAGTGTCCAAGGGGTTGAGAGTTATATAAAAATCCTGATGCCTAGGTCTTACCCCCAGACCAATTCCATGGACTCCCTGAGGTGGGACTCAGGCATCAGTTATTTTACAGCTCCCCAGGTGATTCTGTTTGCAGCCGAAGTGGAAACCAGTGGTATATGTAGTTGTGAACATTTCTATATTGGAAAGAACTTTTCTTCAGACCAGTTTTTATAAAAATATTTGTGGAACACTGAGCTTGACCAGACATTATCTCTCCCACCTTCTATTCCTCTTCTTCCTCTTCCTCCTCCTGTACTTCTTCCTTTCTCCTTCCCCTCACTCTCACTCACTCCCACTCTCCCGCCAGCTATACTAGTAAAACCTCAACCTTCATTATCACCTTGAATAAAATCCCTCTACTCCCTGGCCTCAGTTTCTCTGTCTGTAAAACACAAGACTTACATAAGATGAGGTGGTTGGGGCAGGGGGGTTGACTGGTTTCTGAACTTTTGTTTTGTCTTGAATCATTTTCCTTCCCTTATCATATGTCTAGGGTCTAAGTCCCTGGTACTAAAGAACAGCTTTTCATTTTGTGCTCACCCCCATGAATCAGAGAACTTCTTGTGCTTACAGCTTATCCTGGGTCAGCGACCTTCCCTCTCAAATTCTGGTCCTGTCAACCTCCCTCCTTTTAGCATCAGTAGGACACCCAGAATCAAGTCCTCTCTGTGTTCCTTTGGCAAAACATTGCCAAACTCCAAAAAGGACAGAACAATCTGTAATGGCCTTTCTGAAATGTGATTATGGTAGAAAAAGACGTATGAGCCATTGTGGAGATGAAAAATATTTACACTGAGTATCCTATCTGTGTGAATGATAATAAATGGATACACATTCGTATTTGTGTGCATTTTTACAGCAATGCACCAGGTTGGGCTCTTCTTAGAGGGAATAATGTTCTCTTTCTCTAGCTCCAGCCCCTGTTCACTCGCCCCTTCTCCCACTAAAGCCCCCTCTCCAAAAGAGTGATAATAATTCCCAAAGCTAAATTTGCAACATGTGTGCTTATGGAACATAACTGTATTAAATGTTTTATGGGATGACAGGATCACAGGACCCGTAACTATCTTCTCAAAGTTCCCTGCTATCTTTATCACTGCATATAAGGATCTTCCTTTTCAATTGCCTGCAAAAATTTTTAATGGGTCTCTCCTCCTTTATCCCTAATAATTATCTTTAAAACACTGTTATTTGGCTTTAAGCCTTAGGTTCTATTCTTCATTCATGTCATCCTCTTCCGTCCTCTACCTCAGCTTCTTGGACAGAGGTGGGTAGCAGGATAGTGGGCTCATCATGTGTCTTCACCCCTTGCTGAAAGAGCAATGGTTGCATTATTTGTGCTACAAGACTCTAAGCTTTCATTCATTCATTCAAGTTTTTTTATGAGCACCTTCTAGATGCTAGACACTATTTTAGGTATGGAAATTATAGCAGTTAACTAAACAAAGTCATTGCCTCTGCAAAGCTGAATCCTATTACTGGCATGCATTGTTAATTCGTTATCAATAAAATATATACACTATCTGTGCACTGATCGATGATCTCATGCCATTACCTATGTTTAGTCTCTATACATTTATCTGGACTGTACTTGACTCCCATCTCTTCCTTGTATCCAGTTCACCTTATGCATTTTCAGGATTCAATGCTTGGAAACACAGTTTTAATTATTAGTCTGCTTTTAAAAACACCCCTTAAAGGCTCCGATACCATCACCTCTGTTGCCTACCAAATAGAGCCCTCACTCCTTAGCCTGTCATTTAAAGTTCTCCATGATCTAGTGCAGGGGTCCTCAAACTATGTCCCGCGGGCCGCATGCAAATACAAATATTGTATTTGTTCCCGTTTTGTTTTTTTATTTCAAAATAAGATATGTGCAGTGTGCATAGGAATTTGTCCATAGTTTTTTTTTATAACTATAGTCCGGCCCTCCAAAGGTCTGAGGGACAGTGAACTGGCCCCCTGTTTAAAAAGTTGAGGACCCCTGATGCCAAAACCGGTTTGGCTCAGTGGATAGAGCGTCGGCCTGTGGACTGAAAGGTCCCGGGTTCGATTCCAGTCAAGGGCATGTACCTGGGTTGCGGGCACATCCCCCGTGGGAGATGTGCAGGAGGCAGCTGGTCGATGTTTCTCTCCCATCAATGTTTCTAACTATCTATCTCTCTCCCTTCCTCTCTGTAAAAAATCAATAAAATATATTTAAAAAAATTTAAAAAAAATAAAAAAATAAAAAGTTTGAGGACCCCTGAGCTAGTGCCAACCTGCTTTTGGGATGTTATCTTTCAACTGTTCCCTTTTATGGACTCTGTGTTCTGTGCTGCACCTTGTCAACTTGGAAACCTCTGCCTGCAATACTCCTCACCAACTCTGCCCAAAAGAAGTATATCCACTCTGCATGACCCAGATCACAAAGCCTCCCCAAAGAAAAGCTCTCTCTCTTATCATAATCTGCACGGTATTTTATACTTGTCCTGTGGCCTCTGCCACATCCTGCCTTGTGTTGCAGGCTTAACTCTTAACCCCAAATGTGAAAGTTTTATGAGCAGGAAGAATACTTTACCATTTTGGGCTGTTTGCTCCCTCAGGAGTTTGTAGGTGAATCTAGTCCAATCTTCCATAAGAAGAGAGAAAAGCCCTGGCTGGTGTGGCTCAGTTGGTTGAAGCATTGTCTCGTACACCAAAAGGTTGTGGGTTCAATTCCTGGTCAAGGCACATACCAAAGTTGCATGTATGGGAGGCAACAGATCAATGTTTCCTTCTGTCTCTCTATCTGTCCCTCTCTCTCTCCTTTTCTCTAATATCAATAAGCATGTCTTTGGGTGAGGATGAGAGAAAGAGAGAGAGAGAGAGAGACAGAGACAGAGAGAGAGAGAGATCTCAGCATGCTGCCAGTGCTGATTTACTTTATGTCCTTATTTTTTTCTTGGTGTGGGTAGATGTGCAGTTTATTTTTATTATTAAAAGTTATTTAACTTAAAAAAATATATCTATATATATAAAAGCCTAATATGCTAAGTGTCCTACCATTTGACCTTTTGACCAGTCGCTATGATGCACACTGACCACCAGGGGGCAGATGCCCCAACTGGTTTGGATAGCTTGGGTCCAGCCAATCAGGTCTGGGCAAGATGAGCCAGACATGCCCTAGAGCCCTCCTGCAGTCCCTCCCTGGCCCTGATAGTGCACCGGTGGAGTCCCTTGGGCTGGCCTGTGCCCTCTCGCAATCCAAGACTCCTTGGGGGATGTTGGAGAGCTGGTTTCAGCTCAGTACCTGCAGGCCACGCTGAGGGACTCCACTGGTACACGAATCTGTGCACCGGGCCTCTATATTTTTATTGATTTCAGAGAGGATGGGAGAGGGAGTGAGAGATAGAAACATCAAGGATGAGAGAGAATCATTCATCAGCTGCCTCCTGCACACCCCCAGACCCCCACTGGGGATCAAGTCCACAACCTGTGTGACCTGCTGGTTCATAGGTCAACACTCAACTTCTGAGCCACACTGGCCAGGCCGATGTGCAGTTTAGATCAGAGCTCATCACTACAAAATGATTAAATTCCCTCTAATGTATGTAAGGCTATTTCTGCCTTTTCATTGGTGGATTTGAGGAACTGAATTTGTCCTTGTCATTTTACAGAGACATTCTTACCACCGCTCTCACTATGACCCTCCACCAAGCCGACAGGCTGGAGGTCTACCCCGTTTTACTGGGGCCAGAAGTCACCGGGGAGCTCTTATGGATTCCCAGCAAGCCTCTGGTACCATTGTGCAGATTGTCATCAATAACAAGCACAAGCATGGACAAGGTAAGGGGCATGTTTGTTTTGTACTACCTCCACATTAGGGCTTCAGCAGCCCTGGTCTTTGGAGGGCTCAAGCTGGGAAAGGGCCTTTGCTCCCATGCATATCATATATTTACATGTGGATCATTCACTATCAAGTCTACAAATTGAGTATGGACAAGTAACTCCAGAGGACACAAGATTTCCCTAAATATAGCCCTAAGAGTATAGCTAATATTTTAGATGTATCTGTCATTATTTAGAACAAAAAGCGAGAAAGCAATGAACCTAATGCAGCCTACAGCATTTCTCAGTTGCCCCTAAGGGTTGAATTACATTTGGGAAAGTTCATTGGATCTTTAGCAGAATGAAAGTCTGTTCATTTTCTAGTAGGAGACCCACTATTCAAAGGTAGTAAGTGCCAAATGCTTTTGAAGATCTTCTCCATACCTTAGAAATAGCAAATCTCTCACCTCAATGCACCCAAGTCTCCTGAGGCTCTTGTGAAAGATACATTTCCCAGGACCCATGCTCAGAAATTCTACCTTATATGAAGAGATTGTCCTTAAAAATGAGTAATCCAGTGAGAAAAATCCAAAAACTTCCTGGCTTAGGACCAGGAGGACTGATCAGATTCACACCGACATGCAGCCCACTCAGCCAGCCAGCCAGCTGGCTACAGCAGGCACCCATACACATCCAAGGCCCATTCCTTCCTGCACAGAGTTCTCTGGCCTCCACACCCCCAGTAGCGGGGGTGGGGAGGGGAGAAATTCAAACAATTGACTGCTCCTTACTTTTTTAGGCATTGTGTCAACCAGCTCTTCTGAGCAAGAGCTCAGCTGGTTCCTTTTTATGAAACCATAAACATGTTTTGTTTCCTTTAAAGGAAAAAACAAATCAAAGGCAGTTCTCTGAATGGGTTAAAAGTAATAAATTATTAAAACAAATGATTGAATAGCATGGGTGAAAAACAATCTGTTACAAAGAACTCCTACTATAAATCTCAAAAAAGCTAGTCAAGCCAGGGCTAGTTGATCACATCTGTTACTAGTTAGATAAAAATTTCAGATTTCAGATAAAAAAATTAAATTGCTTTTGAAACTAAGAAGCTTAAAAGAAAAACCTGCAAAATAAAACTCTTAATTAAAAATGGTGATATATTAGAAGAATTGGAAATATTTATTATTGATCAGGGTTTGGTTTGAAATTTATTATTTTTAAACCCTAAGGAATTCTGATATGAATTTCTGAAATGAGGAGGAGTTAGGTAAAGATGCAGTTTGATTCTTAACACTGAATTGCCTCCAGTAGATTCCATTTGCTCTGAAAGTATTTCAAAACCTTAAAAAACGTGTGGGGAAATGGACTTTGAAAATCCCAAATCCCATAATTTCTATAGGCCTCTTCATTTTCAGGGCAGAGGCTCACCTCTTGATTTTCTCCATGTCCTACAAAAGCCCCAGCTGGTTCATATTTATTCATTCCCCCCTCCAATTGATTTGGTTGCAGCAGTTCTTTCCTGACCTTTCTATTATAGTTCACTGTAGAATCACTTGCCCCCCACCCCCAACTACCAAGGCCCCAGATGGATACATTCAAAATTATCTTGAGAATTTTTTGGCGAGGAGAAGGCTATGTTTCCCTCTAGAGAATTAACCCCACCCTATTTCACTTCAGAATATAGGCTCTCATCCAGTCTAGATTGCTTCCTTAGTCCAAAAGTTTAAGGCAGAGGGAACAACACTGGAAGTCCTGCCTGCACTTTTCTTAGCTCTCCTGCTAACTATGTGCTCCTCTGAGATACATATACTTGATCCCTTGGTAAAGTGAAAGAAAAGAAGTGACAGGAAGGACTCCACCATCTTGAACATGAGTCCATCCTAAATTTTCTTAAAGCAAACAATGTACCCACTTGATTGAATTGTCTAGAATGGAGTATCACTGTCTGGGGAGGAAAGAGAATAACACATCTTTCCTGTTTTGTCATGTGATTCTATCTACAGCCCAGAGCCTCAGGGTTCAGATATCAGGTCTCTATTTTATCTTACTGTAAGGTTGGGAATTTCTTTGATTTAGGTTCTTAGGTTCTTGGAAATATTTACATAGATTGCCCTGTTGGAGTGCCTAGTACTCTAACAGCTCTTGCAAAGGACAGGAAAAGATAACCAGCATCATCCATATTTCCTAATGTGACCCAGTGGACTTGATGAGAAAGAAATAGCCCAATGATTCATTCTTCTGAGGCCACTGTCTTGCAGCCAAATCAGTCAATTCCTAGAAACGCCCCAAATGGGGTTATTTCTCCCACCCTAGCCCTGCCTTAAGTGATACAACCCATCCTGTTGATTGGGATGCCGACAGGTCTCCCTGGGTATGATGAGGTGATGGTAAGAATGAGAAACACACCCAATCCCAGCCATGCCTTGAAATCTCCAAAATGTCTCAGTATTCTCAAAAAGGGAGACAACTCATTCTCAGACCTTTCTATTCACAGCCCTGTGCAGTCCTCATCCTGGATCCTAGCTCCATACCTCACATTAGGAGCTGGATAAGTTTTGGTTGTATTGCATTGAAGGATGTTCCTGTGACCCCTCCCCTGTATAGGCTCCCCAGCCTACAGCCCAGATGCTGGCTCTTGCAAGGCCCCTCAGAAAACATGGAGCCAGTGACTTCACTTCCCACTCAACAAATGTGAGACCACCAAGCATATATCTAGGGCAGGCAGTGATTCACTCCAGCCTAATCTCTACAACCACTATGAGGCAAGGGTCAGAGGACACTGCCTGAAGTTTACAGGCAAAAAAGGCTACCTTTCACCACTTACCTGGTTGGTGTGGGTCCTTTCCCTCCCAATGTTGTCTTAGCACCTTCCTTCCAAGGCCAGTACCATTAGGCTCCATAGACATTAGTGTTGGTGAATCGGACTCATAGCATTTGTTATTGTGAATGGATTTGCTTCAGGATTCGGGGGGGGGGGTGGCCCATTGGGAAGAGCAGTAGTTTTTGCATCTAGCTTCCCTGGGTGATAAATCTCTGTGGGAAATTTTCATGCCAAGAAGCACATGCACTTGGGCCATATTATCTATGAAACTGCAGCCATTAAAACTACATTCTACTAGGTTCCTTATTAGATACCCAGAACAGATAGAACTTTGCTTTCATTCATTCCCGCACTTTAAAAAACATTTACTTATTGACAGCCAGGCACTTGTGAGCATCCAAAGGCTACTGCTGAAGAACCTGAATAGTTGCTGATGGTAGAACAAGGCCCAAGCTGTGTTTATTTGGAAGAGGCTGACCTGTAAACGTATCTCCATGGCCATGTAAAGAACTAATGATGCTTGATGTCTTAAGGGGTTCAGGGCTTGGGTTCTGAGCACAGGGGTCCATTTTAACTCCCTAACCTTTAATTTCCAGTATTGTGTTCTCTTCCAGTGTGTGTTTCCAATGGAAAGACCTATTCTCATGGTGAATCCTGGCACCCTAACCTCCGGGCATTTGGCATTGTGGAGTGTGTATTGTGTACTTGTAATGTCACCAAACAAGAGTGTAAGAAAATTCACTGCCCCAACCGATACCCCTGCAAGTACCCTCAAAAAATAGATGGAAAGTGCTGCAAGGTGTGTCCAGGTAAAAAGGCAAAAGGTGCGTTGGTTGGAAGCCCTGCCTCATAGTCATTCTCAATGTTCTGTGAACATCAGAAACATAATCAACCTGTCATATCATTGTAATGATAACAGTTCTACTAATAATGAACTGCATTCTCTTCTCTCTTAAAGGGCTGGTAAGACTGTTGCTTGGAAGAAATGCACTACTAAGAATTAGACAATGGATGTGTTTGTGTCAACCATACCTTTGACTCCATGTAGCCCTAAGTGCCAAACTTTAGCCTTGGTTATATAAGTAGTAGAGAAATTAGCTTATGATGATAATTAGGAAGAACAATAGCAGCTTTAATTTTTATATTACTATTTAACTCATCAAAGCATGATCACATCCAATATCCTTTTGAGATAGGATAAGAGACAGGTGAGGTATAGTGGAGAGAGAGTGGGTTTTGGTTCTAATCTAAGTTGCTGTGCGACCTTGGAAATGTGCCCTGTCTGCTCTGGGCCTCATCAGCCTCGTCTGTATAATGAAAAGCTTAAAACAGTTGAACTACAAGCCCCGCTCCAAGACTAAAATCCTATCATGATGTTATTATTTCTTTGTTAATGATAAGAAAACTGAGGTGTATAATTAGTGACTTGTCCAGAGCCACACAAATAGATAATAAAACCAAGGCCTGGAAGCCATGTCACTTATAGCCCATTGTCTTTTCCAGGCCAGTAGAAAATGTAAACTGATTTAAAAATGCCAGATTAATTATTTAAATAGTGCTTTTAACGCATGAGCTAGATAAAAATATAGTTTGTAGTATTGGGTTTCACAGAGTATGGGATTGGTAAGCAAGTATTCTAGCCCTGGCTCTGCCACTGGTTTACTGTGTGTCCTAGAACAAGTCACTTCACCTCTCTGAGCTTCAGTTTTCTTCTCTGCAAAATGAAGGGTTGGAATAGATTATTTCTTAGGGTCCTTCTAGCTTCAACATTCTAAGAGTGAATTAATTAATTACTTTCAAGGACATGAATTTATCATTTCTTATGCCTACATGCAAAGCATTTTTGTAAACACAGTTGAAAAAAACAAACATTTTTAAATGTAGGCAGAGAGCTAAATTATTTCTTCAATTTAGGCGATTTCTCATGAGTAGCAGGTGACCATGATTTTGTTCAATGTATATTTTTTGAGCACCATCATGTAGGTCAATGGTTCCCAAGTTTGTCTACACATTGGAATCCCCCAGAGAGCTTCTAAAAATACCTGTGTCCCATCCTTAGAGATCATGATTTAATTGCTATGAGGTATGGCCTGCACTTTGGATTTTTAAAGATCCCCAGATGATATTAATTTGCAGACAATTTTGGGAACCCTGGATGTAGGCCCAGGATGGTTTATGGTCTTGCTACTCAAAGTGTGTTTTGTGGACCAGAAATACCTGAAAGCTATTTAGAAATGCAGGTTTTCCCCAGGCCAACTGCATCAGAATCTGCATTTCAACAAGACTCATGTGTTGATTCCAATGCACATTAAAGTTTGAAAAGCTCTTATTAATGGCACAAACAAAATCTTTCTTAATGTAACAACCCTCATCTTCCAAAGTAAACAGGGGCAGGGTGTGAAAAAAAAAGACCGGAGCTATCTGATCTGGAGTAGATAATTGGGCCATTGAAATTGGTGAGGAAATCCACTCACTAGGGGTAGGGAGAGAGCACATTCTGATGTTGAAATGGACAGGGGGGCCACCCAGCCATGATGGCCTATTATGACTTACAAGTATGTGATCTCACTGGATCCTCAAACATTTTAGTGTCACTTAAGGGTAATTCTGCCAATACAATTTTCTCTTTGGTCAAGGGTCTATCACCTATAGTCATATAAGTAATACAACATGATAATTTCAGATTAAATTAATAGCCACCTAAAATACCCCAGGTAAGATAAATCCTCCTACTGTGTAATATTACAATTTGAATCTCAGGCCTTTCAAAATAGAAGTTGAATAAAAATGTGTTGAGAACAGGACACAGAACAGGCATAACCTTAAAGTAATTGGCCTCTCAGAATGGTAATATTTATTTAAAAAGATTACTTTCCATACTCTTTGGCAAAGCCATTTCACTCCTAGAAATCCTCTGTATGTTGTAAGATACATACACATATATACAACAAGGATTTTTACTGCAGTGCTGTTAACAATAGTGAAAAACTATAAACAATTTGAAAGTCTACCAATATGGGGATAGTTAAATTATGGTACATCTATACTATGGCATAGCACATAGCCATTAACAAAATAAACTGACAAACAAAATAGAACCTGAAACATGAATACATGGAACAGACTGACAGAGGGGAGGAGGGACGGAGGGACTGGGTAAAAGAAAGTGAAGGTACTAGCCAAAGAACATATATGCATAGCCTATGAACACAGACAATAGTGTGGTGAAGGCCAGATGAGGGCAGGGATGGAAATGGAGGGCACTTATAACAGTGTCAACAATAAAAAAAGAAGTGGCCCACAGCAAAATAATAACCCCCCTTCCCCCAAAAAAATCATTGTAGACCAAGATTTAATGGCACAGAAAGATGTTTGCATTATATTTAAGCACAAAGAGAAAGCTACAAAACAATATGTATAATATGATCCCATTTATGTGTTAAAAAGAAAGTGTCTACAATAGACAAAAAGACTATAAGGGTATATATAGCAGAATGTTAACAGTGATTATCTTTAGGTGACTGAATTATAGGTAATTTTTATCTTCTTCTTTTTGTTTATCTCTATTTTTCAAAGTATATTATGTTTGTAATTATATATATATATATAATTTTTAAAACTGCCCTCCAAAATTCCAATTGGCAATATATTGAGAAGTCTAATTGACTCAACTTGTTTCTCTAAAAAAGCTGTTTCCCACTACACTGAGATGTGTGGAAATAGAGGACTTATTATTTTGTTTATTTGTTCACTTTATTTTATCTCTGTTTTTTAATGTTTTATTGAATTTATTGGGGTGACACTGGTTAACAAATTATACAGGTTCTAGGTGCATGATTCCACGAGAAATAGAAGACTTACTGAGCAACATGGAAGTGAGAGTGTCTGTATCTTCCTGTGTACCTGTTTCTCAGTGAGCCAGACAGTAGTGTGTGCATATTGAATGATTCCTGATAGTCATATTGCCCAACAACAGTACCTATCTAGAGGCCAGGGCACCAACTGAAGGTATTCAGCAACTTCAGAGCATCAAAGGGCATGCACTTGCTTATGCATTCAATCTTGAAATACATATTATGTGCCTACAGTTTGCAAGATACTGCTATAGGCACTGAAAATTGAGAGATGAATAAGAAAGACAAAGGCTACTTGCTGGCATGCTCCTTATATTCTAGTGGGAGAAAAAAAAGACAATGAACACAAACCAGTAAGGTAATTTTAGGTTGTGATGAGTACTGTGAAGAAAATATAAATAGAATCAGATGGGTGGTGGCACTTTCAAAAGAGTGGTCAGGGAAGGCTTCTCTGAAGAGATATTTGAGTAGAGTTCTGAATGATGTGAAGGAGTGAGTGAGAAATGGGAAGATCATGACATCACTGGCTTCTTAGAAAATAACATATGACAGAGGAAAAGGAACAAAGGATTGAGGAGGGAAAAGATTGATGGGAAAAAAGGAAGAGTACATTCAGTTATTCATGTTGAAAAGGGAAAAGAGACAAAATTTGCTGATGATCCAGCGAAAAGTTTTGTTATAACAAATTATTGCAGGCTACTTTACTAACAAATGAGGGCCAAAATAAAGGATGTGAGTTTTGCCTCTCTCTCTTGCTTGTTCTCTGGTAGGGGCTGCCTTGCCTGGCATATCAGGATTGTGTAGGACTTCCACTTTCTGAAGGTTCCCCAACTCCCCTCTGACCCCCCTATACCACCCTGATACCAGGAATTCCCATAATTACACTTTCTTTGGGATTACAACATAAAACGTTCCTATTAAGACTTAAAACTTTCCTGGGCTGGGCTAAAACATCTTCATCAGTCATCACCACTTCCGAAAGGAAATGGTTTCTTAATTTCTTAGTTCTGGAGGGCTCAGAGCAGGAGCATTCCCCTGAGAAGTGGGAGTGGCCAGAATGACTTCAAGCATGGCATTATTCCCTGGAAGGAAATGAAAGTAAGTGAGCATGAGTGATCAGAAAGCACCTTGAGGTGGAGGGTGTAGAATGAGGAGAATGTTCCTGAGTAAGTAGTTCGAAATACACACTTTGTTTTACACTTAACATTTTCAAGTGCCAATCAACAAATGGATTATGTTTCTTATAGATCCCTTCTGATGAGTGACGTAAGCTCTTGAAGGGGAAGGGGTGTTGGTGAAGGATGACTCTTCAGGACACTGGGAGAATATTTAGTATATTGTAGGTACTTTCAGTGTCATCATGGATTTAATATGGCAGTTATAACCATAGCCAGTATTAAGCTAGTGAGCAAATTTTAACAAATAAACTCAGCTCCCACATTAAAGGTGATAATTATGTACATAAGAGTTCCTGTACATTCAGTGATCTCCCCACCTTCACCCATTTGAAAAGTGCTAGCACACCCCTTAAATACCTAACATATCACCTTTTTTAGACTGGTCCACCTGGGAATTAAATAACTAAAAAGAAGGTCTAAAGAAGAAGGGAATTTTGATTTTAGGATAATCTAAAAATTGAGTAATCCAACCTGGAATCATCAAGAGAAGATTTGGTTTTGTCCTCACTGTGTCAATAAGATGGTGGGAGTGGGAAAGCTAATCAGGTCAGCAAGAGACATCAATAGCAATTTGATTACAACCTCTTGTCCAAATGTGTCTCATTGGTTAACAGTGATCTTCCTAATTAGAGTCACAAATCCAAAGCACTTAACATCATATATATATATATATATATATATATATATATATATATATATATATAACTTGATTTCAGGGAGGAAGGGAGAGGTAGAGGTAGAAACATCAACAATGAAGGAATCATTAATCGACTGCCTCCTGTGCGCCCCATACTGGGGTTGGAGCCTGCAACTTGGGCATGTGCCCTGACTGGAGCCACGCTGGCCATGCTATATATATATATATATATATATATATATAGAGAGAGAGAGAGAGAGAGAGAGAGAGAGAGACGAGAGAAGAGAGATAAATAGAGAGAGAAGGCGAAGGAAGAGGAGGAGGAGGAGGAGGAGGAGGAGGAGGAGAGAGAAGAGGATCGACTGCGCAATCTAGATATGTGCCCTGATCAGGAATCAAACCCATAACCCTTCAGTGTAAGGGACAATGCTCCAACCAACTGAGCCACACCAATGTTCAACGCTCTTATCAGATACTTTCATAGATGGTTTCTGCCCTTATTCAAAGTTTTCAGAGTGTCCGTGGCATGTCTTTGTTGTTCCTGACTTGAGTGTACACTTTAGTACACAGCTGAAGAGGGTGCCCAGAGGCCAGCAGAAAAAACTTAACTCACAGATAGTCAGCCAAGAGAAACCTTTCTTAATAGGGAACTGAGGAATGAGGAGGGTGGAGTGGAATGGGGAATATCAGGAGGTGGTACCTTTATTCCTGGAAGCTGAAATCCAAGTTTAGATTAAACTTTAAATGATCCATAGTTGAGGGAGTTGATCAGTTTCTTGTGTGTCTCCCAACCATTTGGCATACCACGCATATGACTAAGCTGACATCTAGCTTTTGGCACTGATGTTGATTTGGTATTATCATTCCCCTTAAAAACAAATCAAAGAGCATTCAGAAATGTCAAGCTAATTTGGATAGATCATTTGAGCAATATATGCACACAAAGGAGTATCATAGATGTTTTCTAAGTATAAGTGATGTCAGGGACGTTAACCAAGGCCCTCTTTCAGCCCATTCCCTAGGCCTCTGTTGGTAACACTGAGCTAGATAGACCATGATCCTGACCCAAAATGGAAAAATCTATGTTCCATTAATTGCCTAAGAGATTCATATCTGTCCAAGTTCTTCCTCCTCATGAAGGTCCACTTCTCATGTGGCACTTGATGGATCCAATTTAGTTGTGGGCCAGTGTTCTACAGAACTATGGATTCTGTCATCTTGTGGACTTAAATTAAAGGCCATGTGCTCCTTTGTGATTTGGTGGCTGTTATAGAAGCAGCCTAAACTGACACAGTGAAATATGGGTGTAACTTCTATCTCTATAACAATATTCTTGTTGATTTTCCAATTTTGATGAGTGTATGTGTTACAAACAGATAGCTAAATGCAAAAGTGCACTTCTATATATGCAAGCCAGTGACTGAGTTCTTCTTGCTTCCTGATTCTAGAAGAACTTCCAGGCCAAAGCTTTGATAGCAAAGGCTACTTTTGTGGAGAAGAAACAATGCCCGTGTATGAGTCTGTGTTCATGGAGGATGGGGAGACAACCAGAAAAATAGCATTGGAGACAGAGAGACCACCGCAGGTAGAGGTCCATGTTTGGACAATTCAAAAGGGTAAGCAAAACAACACTAATTTGTCTTTGGTGGTTTGCTTTTGTTTTTGTTTTGTTTTTTTTGTGTGTGTGTTTTATAAAGGGGCTACAGGGAAGGAGGGGAAGCCTCACCATAATTTTACTTCAACCTGTTTCTCCTTTTGGGACAGAAGAATTCCTTATTGCTTAGAAACTAACATATGACTAATACAGTTATTATGGCCTTTAACTTTAACGTTGGCCTGGGCTAAAAAATAAAAAGTAAGTATTTACCCTTGGGATTTGTTGTCTTTCTCATACAACAAGGCTAGAGGATTGTTTCTCAACCCTGGCTGCACATCAGAATAATCTGGGAGAAAAAATTTTAAAATACCAAATGCCTGGGCCTAACCGGAGAGATTCTGACTAAGTGGTTTGAAGTGGGGCCTGAGCTTAAGTGTTTTATAAAGCTCCACAGGTGATTCTAGTATATAGTTAAGGTTACAAACTATCAAACTATAGTCTATGGTTCTTTCCAACATGAAACTCCACAAACATGAAAATTTATTCATTTGGTAAGAAGCAAAGTCTCTTGAATCATGCTTCGTACTCTGGAGTAAGACAAATTGAAAACATGATCCCTGCCCTCAAGTTTATAGTTTCACTGGAGGAACAATCCCAGTCATGATGTCCAATTTCTTTTTTGATTATTCACATTACCATAGCAAGCCACATTGTGCTCACTGTAATTCAGATTATCTCATAGATAAAAGATAAGTGCTGATCTAGTCTGGTCAAGTTTTCTAGGAATCCAAAAGTAGAGGTGAGATTAAAATTGAAAAATTATAAACATCTTTTTTCTACTGGCACCTGCATAAGTCTCAAGAGTACTCAAACTTTAGTATGTTTCAGTGTCATGCAAGAAGGTGGTTTATAATGCAGCTGCTTGGCCCCATCCATGAAATGCTACTTCAGTAGTCTTGGGTAGCTTCTAAAGTTTTGAATTTTTAAACAATAGGCAGGTGATTCTAATGCAGATGGCACTTGGACCATACTTGGAGAAATAACTGCTCTAGTATTTGTGGGGCTTTTTTTCTCTTTTTTCACAACCACCTTTCTTTCTTGAAAGAAAGAGTTCCTCCCTACCCCTTAAATATATTCTAGAACACACATATGTTTCTTGTCCATGTTTATTTTTGCTCTATACCTAGAAATGTTGATTTTCAGTCTCTAACTCCATAGGTTTTCTATAGCTGGCCACCTAGGACTACGCACTGTTCTGTTGGCTTCCCTAGCAGTGGGCTCACTATTCATCATATAAAATCTCACACCCCACAGAGCTGTATGGATGTTTTTCAACTTGCTAGTGTAGCATCTAAATAACCTTGTTCATAGTACAGGTGATCACGGTGTGTGCATGATGGGCAGAGAAATACCCAGGCTTCATTTCCATTGCTCCCTGTAGACCTCTTGGGGATTAGTCAAGTGAGCTGATAACATGTTGCTCCTTAACTGCACGGTAATTTCAGTAGTGTACATGTTATTTTGATAAAAGCAATTCAGTCAGTGTTGAGACAATGGAACCCCTTATTTTAACTCTCCACTTTTATAAGAGAAAGCTAAAGGAGCTGTGAATATTCCCCAAAGGAAAACACACTTTTTGGTATGTTGAAGATCAGGAATGGCTTCTCCATTTACACAAACAACATGTTTGCAGTCCCACTGCTGGTTGTCACTGCTTAGCCAAGAGGGCAGCCCAGTGGTTTTAGCAGGGACATTATCTACCCAGACTTGGGGCAAGGACAGAATTTCTAATACTGCCCATGTCTGATTCCATGTGGCTTTCCCTAGGATGGTGTCCCATGATCAGCAGCACCATTTCCCTTATCTCCATCCTCTAGAGAACCAGGAGGAAGCCAGTGAAACAAGGAAACAAATGGAGTTAATTATAACCCTAGAGCCATCCAAGTTCTGGTTAAGTACATTACACAGCCGAGCTCAATACTCCTAAGCCTCAGTAATGAGATGATATGCTTAGCCCAAGCAGAAAAAGGGGCTGGTGGTTCCAGATAGAGAGAGCCTGATCACCTGCCCAACATTTTTGCTTGGCTCCAGGCATCCTCCAGCATTTCCATATTGAGAAAATCTCCAAGAGGATGTTTGAGGAGCTCCATCACTTCAAGCTTGTGACCAGGACAACCCTGAGTAAGTGGTACCTCTCTTTCTTTACTCCTCCCTGGAAAACACATCCAGTTTTCAATGGAGCACAGCTCCAAATAAAGTCTTTCTGCGTTCTTAATGAGCATTAGTTATGCTCAATATCAACATCAGATGATGTTTTATCTCTCCTCTGGGTAACTTATCAGGGAAAGGGGTGTCTGGATGTGAGTGAACTGAAGATCTTGGACCTTGTGCATACAAATCCAGATGTATTAAACATAAGCTACCTCAGATCAAGGTTTCCTGAACAACTTTAATGAAACTGATAAACCCAGAGTTTCAAGATGGTTAGAGAACTCTCACAGGATTCCAGATCTGATGTATTTGTGGAGACTTCACATCTGGAAGGGTATGTCCTCTAGTGTTGGGGATGAGAGACAGAGAAAATTATTCCTGTATTGTATCAAAGATGTGTTTGGCTCTTTGGAACTGCCCCTGGGTGTTAATGTTTCTTTAAAAGCATTCAGGCACTGAGGCATACTTGTAGCTCTCCCAGTTTCTACACTAGATGGAGCCTAGGGACAAGATACTGCTAGACACTGGGGGCGGAGGGAGGGGGTGGGAAGCACTTCTGAAGGAATAAAAGACAAAATTTATATCCACAGGGAATTCTAATGGGCGAGACAGAACATGAAAATGCTTTCACTATGAATTAGTATACTTCTGAGGAATTAAATACCTAAGTGCTCAGGGGAATCTGCAAGGAACAATGATATGAGAGCCAGGTGGGCTTATTTGAGGAAGGCTTCAGGAGGAGGTGTGCTTTGAAAGAGAAGGGTGTGGCTGGGCAACAGGTCAGGGAATCAGTCCAGGAATAGAGTGAAGCCGAAGAGAAGACTCAGACAGGAGCAAACAAGAAGTGTAGGTGTGGGTGGGTGGGTGTGGGTGAGGAACAATTACAAAGACCACATAGGGTGCACAGAAATATGAGAAGAGTTGGAGACAGGAAGTAGTTAGAGGACCTGAAGGAAACCAGTGAGAAGTTCAGATATAAGGCAAGTAGCATTGGTAGTTGCTCTATACCAGGGGTCCTCAAACTACGGCCCGCGGGCCACATGCAAATACAAATATTGTATTTGTTCCCGTTTTGTTTTTTTTACTTCAAAATAAGATATGTGCAGTGTGCATAGGAATTTGTTCATAGTTTTTTTAAAACTATAGTCTGGCCCTCCAACGGTCTGAGGGACAGTGAACTGGCCCCCTGTTTAAAAAGTTTGAGGACCCCTGCTCTATACTTACAAACAGTATAGTGATATCAAAATGGTGTTTTGGAAGGATATTTCTTAGCTTTCATATGGATTTATTAAGCACCTACTTTAATAAGGCCAGATTCTGTAGAGTCCAATATGCCATGCTAAGAAGTTGGACTTGATCTCCAGACCAGAGTACCCCAGTGATGGTTTTTAAGCAAGTAAAGGATATATTCAAATCTGTTTTATAGAGAGAAGCAGTTGTTGTGTGGAGTGAAAGTTGGACTGTTAGTGAAAGAGCTGGTGATAGTCTTAATTAGAAAGTGATTATACAGTATTAAGTATGTTAGACAGAGAGCAGAAGTCACTGTGAGAGACAGCTCTGAGATTAAATAATCAAGAACAGTATCAAAGAGAGAAATGAATGTGGAAAGACTCCAATATTAACAACTTTATAGACTGGGTGAATTAGTAATACCATTCACCAATGGGAACCTCTGACAATATGAGTTTGGTGGAAAGAAATGAGTTTCACTTAAAACATCTTTGCCTTAAGAGCCATCTGATTAGAGTTATTCAATAAGCCGCTGGAAATAGGGTTGATGAGATCAGTTGTTTGTTCTTCAGGAGACTGATAGACAATGAACTGGGCAGTAGGAGAATTAAAATGGAAGAGTTGGGATTTCTTACTTATGAGTAAGGAATAAAGGACCCATAGTCTAGGATCCTATGATCAGTTATGTGACTTTTGAAATTACCAATTAATTTAAAAGAACATGTTTCTGTTTATACTGTGAACAAGACACTGTGCTATGCACTGGAGGTCTTGAAAGGTTATTTAAACTTTCCACTAATAACAGTTAGGATTTGAGGTGTGTAATAGATGTGGACGGTGTGTGCTTCAGACTCTGTGCAGCTGAGGAAAGTGAGGAATGAGAGGATCCTGCAGAGTAATCTGGGGACAAAGAACAATCCTGACCCCTTTATAAAATGTGTCTCTCAGATCCTGGCACACAGTAAGGCTTTAGTTTATTAAAGCAGACCCGCCCACACTTTCTGGCGGGTCGCCTTCTACCTTGTCATTGAGTCAGATAGAAAAGGCAAACAATACCGGAGAAAATGGCTGTGCAAAGAAGGGGCTCTTTTTACTGAGGGTGTGAAGTGCATGTCTGCGTCAAAACCCAATACAAGTCCAACAGCTCCGGCGCCGTCCGCGCTAGCGTGCTCAGCTAGTTTCTGACTCCAAC